TATCATTAAAATTAACTCCTTGTACCTCACTATAGCCCTTTGCAACTAATTGTGCCTTATACCTCGCATCTTCAACCCCTGGAATGCCATCTTTTTTCTTGAAGACCCATTTGCAACCAACAACTCTCTTTCCTGATGGCGGCTTCACAAGAGACCAAGTACCATTCTTGTGTAGAGACTCAATTTCTTCATTCATTGCAATAAGCCACTTGGCTGAATAGTACCAGAAACTGCTTCTAAATATTTTGATGATTCTCCAATTTCTTCAATTTCATGTGCAACTAAAAAAATAAATGCAACATAATCTCCAAGCCTTAATTGTTGTTTACTTTCTCTTCTTGGTCTATGTTTGGCTATAGAATACTCCTCTTCTTTCATTTCAATTTCAGGAGTCTTAACTTCAGGAATTTCAGCTTCTAGCTCAACTTCAGGAGTTTCAACTGTATTTTTCTTCAAAGTTGATAAGCTTGGCTCAGAAGGAATACCAATCTCAACCTCCACGTGCTTCTATGTACTCTTCCCTTTATCTGTATTACAAGATCTAGAAGACTCTTTTCTGTAATGTAACATAGATGATTCATCAACGGTTACATCTCTGCTAATTATAAATTTTGGTGTCATGGGATCATGATACCATAGTTGGTATCCTTTCACCCCAAATGCATACACAAGAAAAATGCACTTTTTAGCCCTTGGCTTTAATTTTCCATCATTTACATGCATGTATGCATTACAACCAAATTTCTTCAAATAAGAATAATTAGCAGGAGTACCTGACCATATTTCCTCTGGAGTCTTAAAGTTTAAGGGTGCAGAAGGAGCACGATTGACAATATAACAAGTTGTAGAGATAGCTTCTGCCCAAAAGGCGTTTGTCAACCTAGCATTTGAAATCATGCAACGAGCCTTTTCCTAAAGAGTTCTATTTATCCTTTCTGCCACACCATTTTGCTGAGGTGTCATTCTCACAGTACGGTGTCGAGTAATTCCTTCATTCTTGCAAAATTCATTGAATTCATCATTACAAAATTCCAAGCCATTATCTGTTCTAAGCCGCTTAACCTGTTTTCATGTTTGCTTCTCAATCAAAACTTTTCATTGTTCGAAAGTTAAGAAAACATCACTTTTATTTTTAAGGAAATAAACCCAAACTTTTCTTGAATAATCATCGATGAAAGTTAACATATTCATGGCACCACCTTTTTGATGGGGTACGTGAAAGACACCAAAGATCTGAACAAATGTAATCCAAAGTACCTTTTGTTCTATGAATTGCTGGAGATTTGAAGCTGACTCTTTTCTGCTTCTCGAACACACAGTGTTCATAAAACTCCATATTTTCGGTACTTTGGTCACATAAGAAATCTCTTTTGCTAAGGATGGAAAGACATTTTTCACTCATATGCCCCAATCGCATATGCCACAATATGGTGATGTCAGAATTGGATTTATCTGATGTTGAAACTGCAGCAGCACCTGTAACTCGGGGTGTACATGGACCGGTTTGATTCGATTTTTATCAAGACCAAACCAAACCAACTATATCGGTTTGGATTGGTTCGGTTTTTCGGAATTTTTTATATGAATATTATTTCAATCTTACTTTTTTAAATTTTTGATAAGTAAATATATGTTTAGTAAAAATTAAAAAAACTGACAAATATATGATCTATTAAAATATTCTTATGAAAGAATTTTCTTAGTAACACATGATAGTTATTTTTTTGTCGTCTGACAATAATTTTACGTTGATGTACAGTTTCAAGGTTAACCGAATTTAATAATTAAACATAAAAATAAATATGAACCCATATAATAAGGCTGGCAAATGGGCCGGTCTCAGGCCTAAACGGGCCTAGTGGGCCGGTCCAAACGGTCCTGGGCCGGTCTCAAATTAAACGGGCCAAATGGTCCCGGACCAAATGGTCTTTTTGTAGGGACCGGCTCGGGACCGGGACCGTTTGGTTCCGGGCTAAACGGTCCCGACCCGCGGGCTAAATGGGCTAAGTGGGCCCAATAATTTATTTTATATATAAATTAAATAGAAATTAGAGACAAAAGGATGTTAAAAAATAATATCTAAGGCAATGCCTTGTAAATTTTATTATAGAATTGTGACCTAAATTTTTTAATTTAAATTTAAAGTCTAAAGACAAAAATATTGTAAAGAGATATTCAAATCAATGCCTTGTAATTTTATTATAGCATTAAAAAAAATATGGCAATATCTTTCTTAGTCTTCATCTCCCCTATGGAATGAGCACAACAAGGTGCTAATACCACCATTGAGAAGAAAAAGAAACTAATCAAGATGTGCCAAAATACAAGTTACATAATACATACTAATTTTTGTTCATATAAGTTATTTGGTATCTCTTACAAACTTCATAAATCCATCAAGGTCCGAAGGAATTTCCGTTGATGGTGACAGAAAAATAATTTGGTCATCGCCACTTTCGGGCGAAGCTACATCCTCCGCAAGTTCAGCTAGTCCCATTGCTTGCCAAGAGTGGATGCACTAAAAGTATACAAATAACCTGAAATGACGCATTCTCCAATAAGCTAACTAGCAAACAAGGTGAAATATATTTTCAATATAAGTTTGTCGGATTATTATGTCAATACATGAATACGCTGATGCAATTACAAAGACGTATCTTCAAATTACTATGTCAATATAGGAATATGCTGATGGCATTCTAAGATGCATCACTTTGGTTAAAGGTATAACATATATGGAATTTATTACTTACATTTATATGTTCAAAGAAGACTTATTAGCTTTATCAAATGTAAATAAGACATAGAAAATTTAGAAAACAGTTATAAGACCAAATTGATGACATATTCTTAAATTTTATATAAGACATTCACTTCATAAATTCATGTGTGTGCAGAAAATGTTACATCCAAAGTAAGAAAAAAGTGTAATTATAAAAAGTTTGGGGTTAAAACAAAGTTGAGAGGATTAAATATCTATTTTATAAATAGTTAACGGCTATTTTTGACAGCCCAATGATTATTTTTTAATTTATTTTTTTTTAAAGTTGACCGTTGGGACCGTTTGGCCCGCGAGGGGACCGGTCCGGTCCCGATCCCTAGCAGGACGGTCCCGGTCCAGGCGGGCCCAAAGCATAGGACCGGCCCACGAGACTGGCCCAGGCCCACTAAAATCAGTCCTAACGGTCCTGGCCCGCCCGCGGTCCCGAGCCTGGACCAGCCCACTTGCAAGCCTTACCATATAATGATATGTTCTATTTAATTTTAAATCATCAAAATTCCATTTCAAATTCGAAAAAGATACAAGAATATAATAGATTTTGACATATGAATATGGAAGAACAAATAAATTGACGCATTCACTAACACTTGATAAAAAAAATTATCATACAACCCATTATTTAAAGTTAATAAATATGGAGCACTTCATATTTAACGAAATATTACATCCCATAAGCGAATCGCAAATATTTCTAGACATTTTTAAAGAACATTCTATAAAAAGTCTTAAAAGTAAATATAAATATTATATATTTATATGTCGGTTTGGTTCACATTTTTTTTTTTTGCTAAATACCAAACCTAATCGGGGTTTTCAATCGGTTTGGTTTGACTTTTCGGTTTGGTGAATTTTTCGATTCGGTTTGTACACCCCTGCCTGTAACAGTAGATCCCAATAGAGTATACAACGTACCAGATCTGCGTGCTTTCATGATTACAAGAGTACTATGTGAAACTTTCAGAACTCCACATTCACATGTGTACTTGCACCCAAGAGATTCTAGAGTGCCCAAAGAGATGAGATTTTTCTTCAAGTCAGGAACGTGTCTAACATCGGTGAGAGTTCTCACCACACCATCGTGCATTTTGATTCGGACTGTACCTTTTTCAATAACTTTGCAGGCAGCATTGTTGCCCATAAAGACAACTCCACCTCCAATAGATTCATATGTGGTAAATAAATTCCGATTGGGACAAATATGAGAACAACCCGAATCTAAAATCCACTCATTGTTAGATTTGAAACTATTATTAGTTGCTAAAAAAATAGTTCCATCAATCTCAATAGCAGCTACACTTGCTTCGACAATTTTAGTATATTTGTGCTCTTTTTTTTTTCTATATGCTTTTCTTTGTTTTTCAATTTAATGCATTCAGAAATAATGTGACTTTGACCTTTCTTATGACAGTATTTGCACATGACATTTTTGTATCTGAATTTTGACTTTGATTTAGATCTCTCACTACTTGAATCTTTCTTATTGGATCTAACTCTTATGAACAAGCCTTCCCCTAGGTTCCCACTAGCTTCCCTAGTAATATTTTTATCTATTTGTTCTTTTAATTTCAAAATAGATTTGATATCTTTATAAGAGATATTATCATTTCCATAAAACATAATATCTCTTATATGCTTAAATGACAGGGGTAAGAAAACAGGCAATAACACAACTTGATCCTCATCTTTGATTTTAGAAAGTTCGAATAGTTTTCCTCTCTAGTTTTGTAAGACTAATTATAAATAGATAGATCAGAGGGGAGACAATTAAGTAGCAATAGTGGTTTTATTTGAGTTCAGCTCTATAGTTCATTGGAGCTACCGGAAGTAAATAATTATACTTTGGTTGAACAAAATTTAGCCCATTTGACCCACCCCCAAAAGAAAAAAAGATTCTAAGTGAATATTTATATTTATTTTCATATTTGACACTCAACCGTTCTTCTTAGAAGATAGGCCAAACATGGAACTGTCTCTTTGTTACTAACAAAAGCACTTCTCAAATGACTTAGACCAAACACAAATTATTATTATTATTCCAATGTAATTCGAAATATAATTTGAAGAAAGCGATTCTGAAAACTTGGCCAAACAGGGTCAAAGTGACAGTAACAATAAAGTGGATTAATATGTGTGATCCTTATACATTCAGAAGCATGTATGCAAGAGAGTAAAACCACCAAAACAATCACATTTTGATAAGTCATAAACTGCGTAATAGTTTAACTATAAGCCTGAAGAATGCATTGCACCATAAAATTTAATACGTTCATAAGAATTGCCACTAGTATCCATGGCAGAGTTTTGTTTCTTCTTAAATTAAAAGCTATATTGTGTTATGTACGATTTCCAGTAGCACAGGAAAACGCAAAATATACACAATACCTGCTTTCAAAACAAATTGATGAAAAAATTGCAGTCCTTGTATAACTAGAACTTTAGAAGTTGATTGAAGAAGTTGCAAAAGGAATGCAACAAAGGGCTTCTCTTGTAGCCAACAATGAACAATATAGAAGAATTGGATGATACTTTACCATCATATTATCACAAGAACTTTACCAATAGGAAGATGACAACAGCTAGAATAACGATAAATATGACCAAAAGGCACAACCAAGTACAGCCACCTTTTGTGCGTTTATTCAAAAATGCCAATTTCCTTTGCACTCTCTGTTTCAAAGGACAGTAAAAAATCGCATTAGCTTGAGCGCGACAAAATCAGAGATTTTACTTCTTATTAATTCCTTCGTCCGATTTTACCATCCACAGGTTTGAATTGGTAGCATTGGTTTGTGTAGTGATGTTATGCAATAAACTATATGACTTTAGCAAAAGCAAAACTACTACTCAAAGAAATGTATCTATAAGAATGAATAACTCATGTAACACACACAACACAACCAAAAAAAGAAAAAAGTCAATTTGAAGCATATTGAAAACGAGCAATACCAGAAGCCGGGAGTTTGTTGTATCAACATGGTAGTCTAAGTTATCCTGCATATTAGATCAAACATTATGCTGCTAAAATTTAGAAATAGTTTTTGAAAACCCCATCAAAATGAAAGGGAGAGAAATGCTTTCAAGTGTTAGACAAAACCATAAAAGATTAAAATGAAACTTTTTGCAGTGATATCACCCACCAGTAGTGCAGTATGTAGGTTCAGCTCCTCATTGATTGCTAATGCAACATGTTTTGTGCTTGTCACCGTCTCCTCCAATTTATCAAGATCCTCATCCTGCTCTGTTTTAAACATAAATCAAAAGACAACCACATTAACTAAGCTTTTTGAAAAAATAAGCAGAACATGTAGATTTCCAGTGTTATGACAACATGCCTTTAATAACTTGTCGTTGAAAACCTACAAGACCCTGGTTGTCAAGACCAGTTGCCCGACTGATAACATCAGGTCGCTTAGTTTCTGGGCCAAGCAAGCTATCCCTATTTGCAAGGTTATTCATGTTGAGTGTGGTCGCCATCTGATTAGCTTTCGTAATCATATTATCGAGCATGTCATGACGACGCTTCATCTCCTTTTTGGTTCTGTTTACGAGTAAAAAACCATGAATAAACTTACAAATCTTCATCAATTAATAACAGCAAAATATATACTCTGAAAAACTGTTGAAGACATAATTAAGTAAATAAAAATGTGCTCTCTCTAACAGCTTAACCTTTTAGATGAGATGGTCGCACACTTCAACATTGTATCAAAGCATCAGAGGTCCTGGGTTCGAGTCTCACCGCCACCCAATATCAAAAAGAATTTTCACGTGCTTGGCTCATCAAAAAGAATCAAGCCCGTACGTGAGGGGGCGTGTTAAAGACATAATTAAGTAAATAAAAATGTGCTCTCTCTCTAATAGCTTAAGCTTTCAGATGAGATGGTCGCACACTTCAACAAAAACATAAAAATTCCCATACAACTATTAAAATGATTTCGCGATTAACGAATCACTCCACTTTCATTTTTCAGCTATAAATATTTAACACCTCCGGTTTATGGACTAAGACCTAACTTATTTTTGGAACTAATAAAAGTGTACTGCACCTGTACCTCCAGAAGATGAACACTTCTTTAACTATATCATTTGTATGCTGACCATCAAAGTCATCTATTCAGCCTACTCCCTTAACTCCCATCAAACTCCACCGGAGTCACACTCTCCTCAAACCACACCAGCAATCCAGCTTTTCCTAACCTCTCCGCCCTCATGTTAACCCTCTCAATCTCTATGCTCCACTCAACCCTATACTAAACCCTGTTCCAACATACCTAGGACTCATCAACTCACCTTTAAATAATGATTTTAAACTTTATGTTCAAGTTGCAAATTGTCCCTCCCGTATCAACAGTGGATTAAGATTACAAACTTATTAACTTCACTTCTACCCGTTATCACAGCGGGTTATAAACATAGCTAATAATCTGAGGAGTTATATCTCAAATCTGAAACTGGAATTTAACTCTATTCCAAAGGCAATAACCAGAGAAACAAAGCCATTTCAGACCAAACTGTATACAGAGGTAACTAGTACCAGATCTTTCAAGTAAAGATAAGGTTATAATCATGAAGTAAATTTTCAAGTCAATGATAGTGCATCCTTGAGCACAAACGATAGAACAGAAAATGTTGAAGTAAATTTGTGAAACAACATGAAATCGTTGATTTACCATCTTTCTGTTTAAACCTGAGTACTTTATAAGGATATCATAATAAACTGAAAGATGATTTAACATAATATCATAAAAACCCAAATAGAAGTCTGTATGCAGTTTTCTTACAAAGGCTGCTTGCTTGGGAGTGTTGGAAGAAGGGACTGGAGAGTATCAAGCCTTGTCTTTAATATAGTGATTTTTCTCCGAGCTGCAGATAAATGTCGTTGTGTTTCAGGTCCGGAAGAGGGCAAGGAGTTCCTCGCAGAAATCATAGAACCGACTTCATCCGCAAGTTTGGATGCTTCATTAAATTCTCGCATCCATGAGTCAGCAGACGATGCCATAGATAGCTGAGAAATCAAAATTGCATCTTAGGCAAAAAGAAAAAGAAAAAAGAAAATGAATATTAAATATTACNAAATAAGAAAATGAATATTAAACATTACTTCTGACTCTTATTCAAAATATAAAAGGGATACTTAATTAGCTCTACGACCAAATTGAATTCCCACGTTTGAGTTGACAAAATTAGTAACGACGCAAGTCGAATTAGGCATTGTATGTGAGTGACTATTCTGTTATTGAGGAATAGATAGGAAAAGAAAAGAGAAAAGGTTGTCTCTGGAACAATAAAGCTGGATTCCATATAATATTTTCTTGTGTAAAATATTGCGAAATTTCCTTTTCAGAAGATGAACATTGTTTTAGGAATGATAAAAAAGATATAGGCAGACAATCATTTTGGGAGTACGTTATTTGAAGTTTAACTTTGGAGCTGCTTTCCATAATGAGTTAATTTGCAATAACTTTATAGTTAATTCCAAGGTGCAACAGAAAAATAACATCTCAGACTTTTATAAACACACAAAGATCAGCATCCATGCCAAACTGCCTCTGAGATATCACAGTGCAGCCAAAAGTAAAGAATATGTGGAAAGAAATAAAGAGAAATAAAAGGGGGCACAGGCTTGGAGCTTGCCATAAAAGTCAAAACGCAGGGAAAAGAAGCAGAATGTTGTATAATAAGGCTTTTCAGTGTAAAATAAGGCTTGATGCTGCAAATAAAAGTAATGAAAGATAAGATACAGGTAAAGAACAGAAAAAAAAGCTTCATGATTGTTGGTTCAACACTCAAGCATAACTCACGCAAAAAAGTTTAAGTGTAAAAAATATAACTCTAAAGCTTGAGTTCACATAGTCTAAACTCTAAAGTGAATATTAAAAGTCTAGTAAAACTATAAAAATCTGAAACCAGAATAAAAAGTAAACATTGACAGATGAAACTTAGGACACCATGTCTCCTTATTTGAAAGGACAAAAACTACAATCAACAATGACTGTCGAAATAAAGGGAACCATAGAAAAATAAGGCCACCCGGGACATGGCAGAACAGAAGCCCTTATTCTTCATCATCCAAAAATGCAAATATGTTATACACTTTGGGAGCTGTTTTACAACGTATTACATCTAACATTTACAAGCAAAAACATCTAAACGCAAATACACATGCACATGAATAGGTTTTCACGGAATGAAGCTCATAAGAAGCAGAACAGGCATGTTTTGGAAGTTTAACATACTAGAACATCAATCATATGCCAAATCTTCCACAGTGTGAAAGGAAATGAATCTGACCTTTCAACCAAAACGATTTCAACTAGGCTTGTTGATTTAGAGCTTTAAACTAACTCACTGAATTACCCCAATATTGCCTGAGAACTTCTCAATTGCAGCCCATGCCTAACAAAGAAGTAGATATACATAAATATTCATAAAATTTAAAGAAACTAGAGTAAAAATCTGAAAAAGTTAATGTAATAATGGTCATGACTTGCTATAAAGAAGCATATTAACTCTTGACTTGTGTGCATGGAACGAACAAGAATGAAGTTAAGCAAACCAAATGATTGTGAAGACAACCCGTTGCAAGTAAAGGGAAGTTATATAGAAGCATATTAACTCTTGACTTGAATAGCGCAATTCATTTGAGGGATTTGTCTAGCAAACCCTTCTAGAGTTGTATGCTCATTAAATAATGTGGAATAAGATTCTAATAGGGGTTGATAAGAAAATATTATAAAAGCGATCAGAGATTTGTAAACCCATCCTTCAAGAAGCTATTCAGCAATAGGAAAAAGAACAACAACAACAACAACAAACTCAGTATAATCCCACGAATGGGGTTTGGGGAGGGTAGTGTGTACGCATACCTTACCTCTACCTTGAGGGTAGAGAGGTTGTTTCCGATAGACCATCGGCTCAAAGAAAGAAAAAGAAAGCACTAACAACAAGCAATACCAACAACAAGATAATAAGAAAACAAGCCGTAACAATAACAAGATAATAAGAGAACAAGCAGTATCAACAACAATATAATAAGAAAACATGTAGTAATCAAGACTGTCAATAACCGAATACAAGGCTAACTACTACTACTACCGGTATGGGGAAGACACACAGTCGACTGCCTACTAAACTTCTACCCTAATTCTCGACCTCCACACCTTCCTATCAAGGGTCATGTCCTCTGTGAGCTGAAGCTACGGCAAGTCCTGCCTAATTACTTATCCCCAATACTTCTTTGGTCTACCTCTACCCCTCTTCAGACCACCCGAGGCTAACCTCTCACACCTCCTCACTAGAGCATCTGTGCTTCTCCTTTTCACATACCCAAACCACCTAACCCTCGCTTCCCGCATCTATTCTTGTCCTCCACTGAGGCTAATCCTACCCTGTCCCAAATATCTTCATTTGTAATCTTATCAATCCTGGTATGTCTGCACATCCATCTCAACATCCTCATTTCCGCTACTTTCATCTTCTTGACATGAGAGTTCTTGACTGGCCAACACTCTGCTCCGTACAACATGGTAGATCTGACCACCACTCTGTAAAACTTACCATTAAGTTTAGGTGGCACATTCTTATCACATAAAACACCGGATGCGAGTCTCCATTTCATCCACCCTGCTCCAATACGATGAGTAACATCCTCATCAATCTCCCAATTCGTTGGATAATAGACCCAAGGTACTTGAAAAATAGGAGTTTTGCTGCTGTTCCTGAACGGAAACTAATAGAGCAAAGCATCTCTTTGAACCAGACCATTCCGACACCCAATGATTTATTTCTTAAGACAAATTAGGGGTTCAACACTAGAAGGATGCCCATCATAAAGAGAATGAAATGCTGCAGGCAGGAATGCGACCCAATGGCTAGTGAAAGCTTAGGAGGTAGACGTTCATCCGGTAAGCCAGAATAAATCCTTGACCGATAGATGTCTTATGCAGGCTGTCAAATTACCACGACAGTCCTCCTTTATTTGGGTTAGACAGTTGACACTAGCAATATGAGGTCAAATAGAACACTAAGCTCTCAAAATTCTGTGAAGACTCCCAAGAAAATTAAATAATTGAAAAAATGAAGAACATCCTGTAGAACATTTATTTGGGATAACAGAATTTTCTGATACCACTAATTACTAGCTGGTGAATAATCTTCTGAGGTTAAAATATACCATATTCCCTACTTAACAAGCTTTTTCTATTATGTTCAAATTAAAGAGGTATAGAACCAAGATAAGAACTAGTTTTACAAATTCGGTTATTATCTGCCCACAGAAACCGTTCATTCTTTTCCATATGCATAATTTCTCCTTAATGCAGTTTTAGATAATTAGTTTTAAACACACAAACACACAATATAACTCAGAGTGATTATGTGTCCACAGAAATCATATTCATCCTTTTCCCATTGACAAAAGTTCTCTTTAGTGCAGTTGCAAGTTAACCGTCTTCATCACCTCATATGACCATGATGATATCATGTCTACAGTGAAGACCCAAAAACGAGCCAAAGAAAATAGATAAATAAAAGTTCACCCAAAGATGGTGTTCCTTATATTCTGGTAAGCACAGAGATTATGAACTAATATGGTCTAGTTCACCATAACATTAGAAAGAACAAAAAGTACGAACAGTTACGCTAAACAAATGAACAAATACACAATCACCAAACACAAACACATTTTATCTATATAGGTATAGGTAACTCTAGTGATGAAGAAATCAAGTTGCTTCCTTAGTGCTGTTCACTCCTACTTGATACTTTTAACGGTACGGACAAATTTGCAAAGCTACTTCTTTTTGGGAATTGATTTGTGAACTAGCTGTCATGTTTATTCGATCAAATTTATGTAACACTTCCATATGCCTTGCCTATTTCCTCTTTGTATGGGAACATTAGTAACTGCATCAACAGAAAGTAAACAAACAGTTGAGCCACCACATACAACCAGAATCGATCACTTTATTATGAATGTAAGTTTCTTTAACTAAGTGACAATATTAAATTCTATTTGTCCAGCGTCACTCCTATTAAGAAAAGACCAAGTTCCTGGTATAAGATGTTCTGAAATCACCTGACGATTAACAAGGATAGCTTTGCAAATTTCTTTCTTTGACTAAATTTGCTATCGAACCGCAACACTAAAATCATATCACCATTTCATCTTATAGAGATAAAATCGAAGATAAATTTATTACAGCGCATCCATAAGTTTGAAGAGACACCCTTTTCTATGGAACACATGAAGGCATTTGCTTAACGGTTATCTGCTGCATATTTACTTTGGGACTACGAGGCGGTTCCTCGGGAGATCCCCTTGTCTTGCATATTTACTTTGGGACTACGAGGCGGTTCCTCTCCCTGTCTTGCATACTTACTTTGGGACTACGAGGCGTTTACTCGGGAGATAACCCTGTCTTGCATATTTACTTTGGGACTACGAGGCGGTTCCTCAGGAGATCCTCCTGTCTTGCATACTTATTTTGGGACTACGAGGCGGTACCTCGGGAGATCCCCTGTCGTGCATATTTACATTTGGGACTACGAGGCGGTACCTCGGGAGCGCCCCTGTTGTTTACCTCTAATTGTTGTGTCGTTATTCTCTGAAGTTCTCGTTGTTTAAATTCTGAGTCATTTCAAATATTATTATATCTTCTGCCTTAATTTCTTTTAAACCAGTAGGGCCCTGACCTGACCTCGTCACTACTCTACCGAGGTTAGGCTTGGCACTTACTGGGTACCGTTGTGGTGTACTCATACTACACTCTGCACATCTTTTTGTGCAGATCCAGGTTCTTCCTACCATACCAGATACCAGTGAGCTAGACTGTACGTGGAGACTTCAAGGTATATCTGCCAGCGTCCGCAGACCTCGGAGTCCCCCTATATCTTATTATGTTGCTTTCCTTACTCTCTTTAGACTCTGATGTATAAAGACACTCAGTATTTTCTCTTAGAAGCTTGTGACTTATTTCTACTGGATTTTAGGAGTTGTAATTATTGATTTGCAGTTTTATATTTATTTCACGTGTTGAGAATTGGGCTTCAGTTTTATATTATATTATTCCGCAAATTTGTTAGGCTTACCTAAAAAGCTGCTTGCTCTGAAGCCAAAATTTATTTTATATTGTAGCATTTTCAGAAAGCTGCTTGCTCTGAAGCCAAAATCAATTGACTTCCCTGATATGTTTTGTCACACATGTCCAGGCCTTCAATAGACTCTTTAAAGTCTAGCAAATGGCTCACACTCGACAACTTACAAAAGAGAGGCATCATCCTTTGCAGTTAATGCATACTCTGTGAGGAAGAAGAGTTAAATGTCAATCACTTATTCCTATACTGAAGCTTTACATACCAAATCTAGAATTTTTCTTGAACTCCTTGGGCATTAGAAGTTGTATGCCAAGATCTAGTGATCTACTCTGTATTCGTGCTTGCTTGGCATAAGAAGGGAATGACCAGATCCTCTCTTGGTATATGGAACTCAATTCCAGCAGTCGCATGGTGGGTTATTTGGAAGGAGAGAAATGCTAGAGTTCTTGAAGATAAGGACATGTAGATATCTCAAACACAAATGTCTATGTTGGTTTTTGGTGCAACATGGGCATGGAAAATGTGTTAAGAGCCTGACACCATGAGTGACTCCCTTAGTTCTTTACACACACTGTAAAGTACTTACCTTTTTGGATGTACATTCCATCATTATCTCTTTGCTGGGTTTACATTAACTAAATACTTACATTACCTATCTTAAAGTGTGGGCTCACTTTTGTTTCTCATAAGAGACATATCCTGTTCACACATTACCTATTGAGGGCATCATATCATTGTACAGTCTATGAAACAATATGGTCCTATCCTCGACCAACATAGGTTTTAATTACGACACCAACTGCATAACAGAATCTCAGTTATTACAAAAACTCCAAAGTATTTGTTTTCTTGAATCTAACTCGGAAGTCCCTAATTGTCTTAAACTTATACCAAAAAATATCTTAAACGCCAAATTTATTGAGTATTGAAACGAACCACGTCGAAGTAGAGCAGAATGCATAACGAGGATTCGTAAAATCCAAAATGAATTAGTTTGAGAATTACAATTAGGCATAGTCGTTGTCGTAATATTGCAACTCATAAGTGACAGCATAAGACTAAGATCAGCTCTTTTATACTTATAAAGGAGAGCTGAGGCCCCAGTTGCTACTAAAGGAGAGCTGAGGCCCCAGAGCTCTTTTATACTCATTAGAAACTCTTAACAATACAATAAGATTCAATTTAAGGTAACAATCAAAACAAACATTTTATTTAAGGTAACAGTACACTACAACACAACACGTAACAACTAACCAAACAAGCTATTATGTTACAGTTCTGTTAGATGTTTCAAATGTAATACAAGTTCTTTCTGCAGTATTGCGGAAACTAAAATTGTAACTGAAGCAACTAATTCCAGAATTCAATTTACCTCTAAAACATAGCAAACCTTTAACACCAGAAGTGAACTATTGGCTCTATTAAGAACCCACTTTTGGCATCATTACAATCTCCATACAACTGTCAAAATAGTACCAAAATAACAAAACCCAATTAAGATAAAAGCTAAAACTTTCGAAATTCTTAATGTTTACGCAGCACTCTTCCTGGGCTTATCAGAAACTCAAAAAGAAAGGATAAATACAAATCCATCATGAAAACAAGAGTAATTTAGATTCAAATCAGAATGAACAAGTAATTAGTGAAGGGTGTTGGAATTTACCTTACGCAATGAATTGAATCAACAGTTTGCTGAGAAATATTGGATCAGGATTCCCCGGGTATTCTGTATATGACCATTTTTTTCCCCTTAAATTCTTTTAAAGAATTAATTGAGGAAAAGGTCAAAAGGAATGAGGGGGAAGGAAGGAAGCCAGCTTTATTGTCCGTTTCCACGTAAATTACGACACGAATTTACTTGTTATGCTACTCCCATAATGTGGGCCGTCTGATCTTTGGCAAGTTCTTTGATTGGGAATTTATTTTGAAGGGATACATATAACGAGTATTTCTTTTCCTGATTTCTTTAAAACAGGAAAAAACAATTGTGTTTGTTCTATAATCGTTTGGTTTGAGGTATAGAAAGAAATACTTAAGGTATAAAGGAATTGCAATAGCTATACAATATTTAATTTATCTTTTTATTCATGTATAGTTAATCCTTATATAAAGTTATACATCAATTTTGGAATAATATAATTTTATACTACTATCAATATGTAATAATTAATTCATGTATAATTTATATATGGATAAAATATTAAAAGGACAAAATTATCCTCTCTTTTTTTTTCTAGAAATCTATGAAATTCAGGCATCCAAGGTATAATTGTAAATTCATTGTTTTTTAGTTTTAAATAATATCTTATATATTTAATTTTATTGCAATGAACCAAACTCCCAATAAAAAATAATTCAAACATTATTAATCCATGTGTTGCTAATAACCTATTAGGCAAGCTTCTCTAAGGCCAAAAATATTTTTTAAAAATTAAAAAAAAATTCAAAGTTGAAGTATTTGGCCAAGCTTTTATAAGAGGAAAAAAGCTGCTTTTGAGTAGAAGTAGTTTTGGAAAAGCGAAAAAAAAAAATAGTTTCTCCCTAAAAGCACTTTCTGAAAAATATACTTAGAAATACTTTTTAAAAGTTTGGCCAAACACTAATTACTGCTTAGAATTACTTTTTAAATTAATTAGTCAAACACAAACTACTTCTTACCGAATGTATTTTTGAGAAAAATCACTTCTCAAAATAAGTTAATTTTAAAAGTTTAGTTAAACATGGTATAATACTTGTAGTGGTAGTCCTTATCGTAAATTTGCAATCCATATATAATTGTTATATAGTTTACATGTTTTCACACTACATCATACAACTTTTATATAACTTTTATAGTATATTTTTCATACAATGTTACATCTTCAAACGTGTAATCAGGTATAGTTTGTTTGTCATGCTTCATACAACATCATACATTTTTCACGCAGTTTGCATACAACTTACAAACAATTATGTATATCGTTTGTATGTATTTTGTATGTCATGTATTTTTTTTTCGTTTTCGAATTTTAATCTGTAAAACCAAAATCAACTATAATCTCACAAATACCATCAAAATTGATATATAAATTTCAAAGGATATTCCCAATCGTTTGCAACAACACCTAATCTAAACAATAAAAAATTAAAACAATCTTAATTTAAATTCAAAGCTATGAAATTTTTTAATTATTGTCAATGGCTGGCACTGCTTTAGAATTAATGAACAAAATTGGAACTTTGTCTAGACAGTGCGTTGAATTTAGAGAGAGAGAGAGGTAATTCTTATTCTTATAAAGAGAAAGGGAAGGGTTTTGAAATTGAGTTGAAAAGCGAATAAAAAAAAGAAAAAATTTCAGAAACCACTATTGTTTAGTGGTTATTAATTTACTATAGCTACCATATATATAATTACTTCCTATAACTACTATTCAGTTGTTACGGTAGTGTATTCACATATATTCGTGTTGATGTATTCATGAATAAATCAGCAAAAAGCGCCTAAAATCAGAGCAGCCCAACTGTACGCGCATATATTCGCGCCATGTATTTATGAATACAACAGTAAAAAATGTCTAAAATCATGGCAGTCCAATTGTAAGCGCATGTATTCACATGTACTCGCGCTACTCTATTCATGAATACAGCAGTAAAAAGCGCCTAAAATCAGGACAGTCCAGTTGTACGCGCATGTATTCACATATATTCGCGCAATGTATTCATGAATACAGTAACGACAATCTTTTAAAAATAGGTATGTCTAGTTGTCTAAAAGAGAGAAAAAATATAAATAGCGTATTTCATGCCTTATTTCATGCCTCAATGGTAGTATGTACCATAAAATACTTATTTTGCTATAAAATATAAAAAGTAAGTATAAAAAATAATATTTTAAAATAATTTTAGTTTATAATAAATAGGGTGTATTCCTTTGCTATATGAGGTAAAATTTCCTAAAAAAGAATTGTGGATTGGGACTGATTACAGCAGTGTGATCGGATGACAAACGTGGGGGAGAGAATTAATTGCCTATAATTAAGGATTTTCTGTTATTATGAATCTGTATATAACTTATAAATATAGATATGATATGTAATTAAGAAGAAACTCTATAAAAATGATAAAAGCCTATAATTTAGCATAGCTATGTGTAGGCATATAAATTTTATTAAAATTAAATTCATAAAATAATTTGGACTACATTTTAAATTCAAGATATGTTGGTCCAAATAAATATATGGGCTAATATAATTGAATTAATTGTATAAGTCCGATATAAATGGATTAAATAAATAAGTCTTAATACATTGGGCTAGTCCATTTAATTGGGCTAAAGTGATGAGCTCACTTCATTAGGCCCAAGATGTCATCTTTCTAGAGGCCCACTTTGGTGCCACTTGTCAAATAACGTGGCGCGCCAGGTCAAATAGAAGAGCCAATAGGATCATGCCACGTGTCAAAATGACAAGGCATATCAAGTCACATTATAAGGCCAAGGAAACCGCGCCACGTGTGCAAGTGACATGCTCTACCCAATCAAATGCGGTCACGTCACACTTCAATTTGATTGGTCGGAAAGAGTTTATTCTTATCACAACTCCTCCTTCCATAACTATAAATAGGGATCTGCATAACTTAGAAAAGGGACCAGAAGTTATAACAAGAAGTAAGAGGGAGCTCGTGGATCAAACGTTGCGGATTTCTCTAAAAGCTACAAGCATTCAAGTTGTTGGCCCAAGAAAGAGAATAGTTTTAAAGATTGACAAAGGAACTCAGATATGAACCAGGTCCATCATTAGCAGACATAGACACCGGCATAGTCAAGGCACGTGAGGTACACATACAGAAGATAAGCGTATTCTGGTAGAATGAGATATCTCCCGATCGAAAAGATTGCGAAAACGATAAGGAGAAGGACTCCTTATTCAGTAAGAACAACACTAAGATAAGGAAGGATTTAGGAGTTGAGTTTAACTAGAACTCTTCCACCAAGGAAGAGTAACATTAGGATTCTAGTTAATTCTTTATCTACTAACTCCTATATGTTGCAGAATATTCTTATTGTACAGGTACGCACAAAATCAGAAGTTAAGCAAGAATTAAGAGCAAAATAGCAAGGCAATTTCGCAAGCAGTTCGAGTGATATTTGAGTGTGTGAATCTGACGCTACTTGAACCAGCTAGAAGAACTAGTTCCAACTGTTGTCTTTTAGTCTAGTTATTTGTAGTAGGTAGTTTTAACTTGTACCTTTTTAGCTTTATATAAAAGCGTCTGTAATAGGTACTTTGTGTTTTCAAGTTAGAGTTTACTTGAAGTTTGTCGCAAATAGCTAGAGGTTAGTTTGCTACAAAGGGTTAGAGGTAATCCTAGATTTACAAAAGAGTTTTTATAAATGCTATTTTGGCTCACTGATTTAGTAAAGAGTTTTGAAAAAATTCTACTGGGAAGTAGGTCGTGGATTTTTTACTTTTTAAGCCAGGTGTTTTCCACATAAAAATCTCTGTGTTCTTTATTTCCTGTACTTATTATTCCGCAGCAGTAGTAGTTGGAACACATAGAAGAACCAGGTCCTTCTATAATCTGTGCACGTAAAAAATTAGACACCACACAAATCACCCTCCCCCTCCCTCTTGTGTGGTATTGGTGTATAAAATATCAATTGGTATTAGAGCGGGTTATCCTTGAAGAGGCTAACACCTTAGGAGAAGATCAAGATGAGTGCACCACCTGGGAACTGGGAAGGACAATCAACTGCTAGGCCTCCACTCTTCAATGGCCAATACTACTCTTGGTGGAAGAACATAATGAGAGACCACATAATTGGAGAAGACTACGAGCTATGGGACATTATTATTGATGGTCCTTTGGCTACCATGAAGAAGAATGCTGAAGGAGTAGATGTGCCAAAGACAAGAGCTGACTGCACTGCTGAGGACTTGAGAAAGTGAGAGAAAAATGCTAAGGCCAAGAAATGGCTTGTGTGTGGACTTGGTCCAGACGAGTACAACAGAATTCAAAGTTGTACTACTGCTAAGGAAATTTGGGACACCTTGCAAGTGGCTCATGAAGGAACTGCTCAGGTGAAGAGGTCCAGAGGTACTTTACTATATTCTCAATATGAGAATTTCTCTATGAAGGAAGGAGAGACTATCCAAGAGATGTATACAAGGTTCACCACACTGACTAATGAACTAAAGTCTTTTGGAAAGACTCTTCTTGAAGAAGACAAAGTTGAGAAGATTCTGACTAGGGTTTTACCAATTTCTTGGGAAAGCAAAATCACTGCAATTCAGGAATCTAAGAATATTGCAACTCTTAAACTGGATGAGCTGATTGGAAATCTCATTGCGTATGAACTTAAAAGGCAGACCATAAAGATGGATGTGCCCAAGAAGGAAAGGAGCATGGCACTCAGAATCATTGAAGGTGCTGATCTGGAGGAAGATTAAATGGCTATGATCAACAAGGACTTCAAGAAATACCTTATGAGAGGAAAAGGTTCCTCAAGAGGTGGAAATTACAACAAAGTAAGGGTTCCTGAAAAAACGACCAATGAGGGATGCTACAAGTGTAGGAAGACTGATCATCACACCAAGAACTACCCTCAATGGGAAATTGAATGGAAGAAGGAAAGATCTGAACAAAGGAATAGGAAGAAGGAACATGTTCATCCCAAGAAGAACAAAGGATCAACAAAGGCTATGGTTGCTGCTTGGGGAGAAAGTTTAGATAAGGAATCAGATGATGAAGATGAAGATGAACAAGCACTTATGGCAATTGGAGAATCATATGGGGAATCTCATGAGGAATCTGAGGTTCA